GCAGGAATGATAGACTTTAGGATATTGTTAATTGGCAAGAACTAAAGCAATAGTTATTGCAGTTAAGTATCAATGAATGATAAATTACTGGGTGAAAATATAATGTGAAACAGGATATTTACATGACCTCAAACTATCTCCCCACTAAGGATTTATTAATCATATAGGGAACACTACGAACTTCATATTGACAAAGCCTGATAGCACCTTAACCTGGGGGGGTGTCAGGTCATAGGAGTTTGAATTCAATTTTATGTGCATTAAGGGAAAGCCATTGGAGGCCTCTTTCTGTGTTGAGAAGAATGGACTGGAGAGGTTCAGACAAGCAGCAGAAGGTTAACTGTAGGTGTGTAGGGGAGAGACGATGGTGTATGGGACAGCGGTGATTGCAATAGCAAGGGAGTATTTGTGTAGAATCAATAGAACTTCCCAGCGGATCCGACAGGGGGCGGAGGGAAAGGGAGGAATCCACCATGACTTACACTTGTCCGGCTTGAACACTGATGGAAGATGGTGTTATTTACATGGATGGAGTGATCTATGACAGCAACAACAAGAAGGACAGTATGGAATGAAGATTAGTTATAAACTCTTTGAAAGTGTTAAAAATCACCTAGTTTCAGTTCAAGGTTCAAAGAAGGATTTAATGTTGTTAAGGATGAAGGCTTAAACTACCACCACCTAGCAGTTAGCCATTGCTCTCTGCCTGGTCCTGTGCTAATACTTACATGAATTATGCACTAATCCTCAACCCTGGCATATGTTCATTTTGGGTCCCAGTTTATAAATGAGGAGACTGAGATTTAGAGAAGTTAGGCAGCTTTCCCAGAGGCAGACAGCTAATAGGTGGCTCAGCCAAGACTTGGGCCCACATCCCTGTGCCTTCGGAGTCTCGTGCTCTTCCTCCGAAGCTTTCCTGCCTCTTGTATACCCCTTGCCAGATAAAACTCGCATGTCTTTCCTTCTACTGTGTCTTATGAAACTACCACTCAATTCACAGAAATGAGAATTCAGTTACATGCGTGACTGTATCAAATCAGCCAGCAATTCCATTTAAAATGTTAACAGGGTGATGAAGCAGATTTTGTGGGTAAGTGGGTGGGTTGTTTTCTTTTAATGTGCCAGATGGTCTCTGCCAACAGCACTTCCTGTCTGTGGCAGGTATCCTTGTCCTTTGCTAAGATCTGTGAAGTGATCTGGGTCTATTGAGCCTATTAAAATTTCCCTTGCCCTGCAGATAACTGGGTCTATGCCTTAATGTCCGGATTTACCAAGTGAAAAGAAAACAATGAATTGAATACTTGCTACTATGAAAAACTATCTTGTACTTCTAAGTACTCATTAATAATTAAGAGATAATTCATTAGTTCTTTTTTATATTGAAATTGGCTACGTAAGATGGGTAATGAACTAATAATAATAGCATAGTTGTGTTATCCGGACATGACAGGTTTTACTGCCTAATATTTTTTTAAAACTATGCAGAAGTACTCTGGCAATAACCAAGCATTAGTTGACTTATTCAAGAGTTAGTAAATATGTGTGGTTACTGGTTATTTAGTGACGATTACATCTGAACACTTTCCTAACTAATGTTTCTGAAAATGATCAGTGTGATTGCAAGGAAGAGTTATCAAGGAAGGTTTTGTGTTTAGGCAACCAAAGCAAATTATGTAGCAATTTTCTATTTGGGGTCATTATTGTTCAGTCATTTCTTACATTTGAATTCATACTTTCCTGTTGTCATTTATTCACCTGGCTTATAAACCCTCTCACAAACCAAGTCCTGTTAGACTCCGGAGAGGCCAAAATTAATAATTCAGTATTTAGTGCCTTTCTACAAAGAGCTAAT